CCTGTATATTAAAGTTTTAAACACATCTCCTGTCCTTCTTGCCCTCTTTGTTTTTCTGCTTCTTACGTGAGTGGTGAGAACCAGTGTTATATTTTATTTTCCTTCATTTCAGCATTTGATCTATCTCCACAGAAAGCTGCAGTTGTTCCATAAAACCAGTCACTGAGGTAAATAATAGCAATCTTATCCCATAAACCTGCTGAAACTATTGAAATACATTAAAAGATTAGAGCAATCCTTATTAATATAAATTACAAGAAAAGAGAGCATTAGCTGAATCTGTTATAAAAAAGGAAATATTTTCTGAGTTGATTTTAATTTCAAATAAATAATAGAAAGAATCTTTCTAGGGACATGAAGGATAGTTTTATAACATCAGTCTATCAGAAATAATGCCCCATTGGCTCTGTTCTCTGCCACGCACACTGAAATGTTCAGACTCTAAAGCGCTGGTTTCTCTTCTTCAGATACAGGGGGGGAGCATTGATAATAAACATTTCATATGAGTACAGAGACCTTTATCAAAGGAAAAGCTGCATAATGCATTTTTAGCATTATTATTATAGTAGTACTTTTACACAATTATTATTTGATGTTTAGGTTTGCTTGAGAGGGACATCTGAAAAAGATCTGCTAAGTCAAATCCAATGCTTTTAAAAAGCACTCAATGAATTCTTCTTGTGTGTTTATGTTGAGAGGTTATTTATTTGCAGATCATCTGTCATTTTTCATGCAAAATGTTTGGATTTTTTTAATTCTATTAGTAAGATTACTTGTGCAATGATTATATGTTTTCCTATACAGGCAGTCCTGCAGGAGCTTCCTGCATGTTGATTCAGTGCTTATGAAATAAGCCTGCTTGTCCTCCCTGAAGACCATTTTTGTCTTCATCAGCGGAGATACAGATACAGCCCTTGCTGAACATGCCCAATGCATCTGCACATCCCAGCGCACAGGGACCTGGGTAGCCTCAACCACACTGTGCTGCTGGTACATTGAGGGATTTGGAGATACGCTGTTGGAACCAGGGTTTTGAGCTCTCCCATCCACAGGGCCCTTTGGAATGACCCCACCATGTTTAGGTAAAGCCTGACCTCCCGAAACACTTACCATCTGGGCTGTGTGGAGCCAGATCCTGCTTTGTAGAAACCAAACCTGGCTTTTCTCCCCTACTATTGATAGAAGTTTTCCATTCCCTAATTTCCTCAGGAATTCCTGCGAAACTCCCAGAGAAATTACATACGAGAGAGGACAACCACTCCAGGTCAACTCAAATACTTTGCCTCAATAACATGGCAAATTTTCGTGCCCATTCGTTCCTCCCATGTCACCACACGAGAGCTGGGAGGCTGACACTGTGCCCAGACCACTCTGCTTGCAGCACTTTTCCTGCGTGAAGGGAAAGTAATAGCAGTGCCGGGATGGGGAAAGGCCATATCCTGCACTTCCCCCATCCTTCCCAATCCAGTACCCAGCTGGTCCATATCCATCACTGCAGGGTAATGGCCAGGAAAACTGCTGGGACAGGCAGATCATTTTTCACCAGGGGATTCAGTTCAGGCTCTGTCTACATCATCCCTGCAGTTTAATTTAATCGACAGAACATTAAACCATGTCACATTTCTATTAAAAATAAATGGTACAGACCAGACATCTGACAGTCAGGCAGGAGGAAGGATATTTTTTTTTGTCTTCCTCCTCTTTTAACTCTCTTTTAACTCTTCAAAGGCTGTTGGAGCCAGGGAAGCCAGTAATACATAAAATGTCACTTCAAATCGAGGAGTTTATCACTTCAGCTCTCCTTTCCCCCTCTTCCTGGGCCAGTCAGTGTCTGTCAGCACAACCCCATCACTCATTAATGATGAGGCAAGAGATGAGGCAGTACTTGGGTGATCTGACAGTTCAGGCTCTGGTTTTTACATATTGCCTGTCGCAGAACTTGTCAGACATTTTGGGTAGAAAGAGCAGAAATGAGTAATGGAGGCATCTGATTATAGCCATAAAATGCACCCAACCCCAAAAGGATGCATAGCTGCTCCAGAAACCCCAAGCAGATATTTTAGGGCTCTTACGGACTCCAGGGCTAGTGAGGCTGCTGCCAGCAGTAATAAAGTCCCACAATCTAATCTCAGCGTATCCCCAGCCCCAGTGACTGTTTTATTTGGGCAAGGTGTGGAGGGCAGAAATTCCCTTTGTTTATGTTCACCCCCAATGGCAGGGTTGAGCAGAAACCCAGCAATTAAGGGCTGTTGTTAAATCTTAATTTTATCGCTGTCCCCTCAAGGGATCAGTGTGAGTGCGGTTTCCTACACTCGTCAGGGTTTCTTCAGGGGACAGCAGCATTTTAAGGTCCCCAGGCTGTCATTGCATAGCTGTATTAGACAAAACACTTAAAACTATACCTTTGTCAACCAGAAGAAGTGGAGGTGGATGGGAAATACAGGGACATCTTGTAAGCCAGTATTGCTGCACTGCAGCATCCACTCCTCTGCCCCTCGTAAGCCTGCTTGGTTTCCTCCTTGAAGTGTGGGCCTCAGAAAACAGAGGAATTTCTTGTTCCTTGCCTGATTTTTTCTTTATACCTGAATCTTGATAGCACTGACAACAGTTCTGCATTTTTCTGTGTTTCTGCAATGGGCAAATGGAGATCGTTTCAGGCTGGTTTTGAAGCAGTTGAGGAGTGGATTTCTCCTCCCACACTTAGACCTCTAAAACTGGGCATATATGTCCTGGAAGCAGGATGATCTGACCCCAGGTACTTGTGAGACCTGCATGTACACAGCGGAATGTCTTATGGCCAGAGAGAAGCATGCTGGACTGGCACCAAACTGTGCTCCAAGTTAGTTTGTGAGTGGTCACATCTCCAGCTGGAGATCAGACCAACCATGTGAAATGCAGACAATGAAGCTCACCAGGTTTGTAAACCAAGACCAACACAAGGAGTTGTAAGACTAGGCTGTCCAAGCCAGAAACCTCACCCCTGACAGCCCAGCTTGGTCAGCCCTTGATGACCCTGAGACAGCTAAGCCTCCATTTAATCAGGAAACATCAGATCCTGCGTTCTTGCTTGGTCATCCCAGCCAAGGCCAAACTGACACAAGGAATTATGCTGAGACTGGGTGAAAATTTCTGTTTGTGGTGCTGACTGAGAGGCTGAGGGCACTCAAAAGGGGAGAGCCAGGACTGTCATGGAGCAGTGAAAAACTAGCGGCTTTTAATGCTTCTTGTTTATTTTTTCCAGTTACTTGGAATGCCTTCTTTCAAGAATTTTGTTTTCTTTTCTGTTTTATTGGGATTGCCTCTGTTTCAAATTTTTAACAGTCAAAAATAAGGCATGTTTATCTCTCTCAAATATTTTTCACAGGTGTTTTCATTCAAGTGCATCCAAAGAACCCAACCTGAATTAACCAGTCTGACTAGGCAGTTTTTAGATAAAAGCAAGGGCCAGGAGACATTCCTGGTTTTGCTGCTGCTCGACAGTGCCCACTGGGAGCCTCATGCTGCTATTCACTGAAAGTCATAGGAAACTGTCCCAAAGAATTAGCCCCTGCTCTAGCTGGATCCCTCCTGCCCATTTATCAGAGGATGCCTGATGATACTAGCAACATCTGAGCAGTACTGGTTCATCTCCTGTGGTTTATATGCAACTACAGAAGGGGCAGTTCGTGACCAGCCACTGCTGAAAGTGATGCCTGCTCTGTCATGCTCATCCTTGCCATGCTGCCAGCACCCACCGGCAATGTCTTCTCTTCCTTCAATCACAGCGAAAGGTAAGGAGCCATTTCACTTGATCTGAAGAAAGCTTTGAGTCAGTTAACTGTAGCATATTAATTAACAAACTTCAATACCAAGGCTCCTCTGATGCAGCTCTCACAGGGTTTCAAAGCTGCTGTGCAGGAGGAGGGAGGGGACGTAATTCCTGTATATGGGGATGTTCATGTCTCTTGGTCCTTCACCATCATGGAGATACAGCATCGTATCTGGACCACCAGCTGGGGTGGTGGTGTGAGGTCCTGGGAGGGGATGGAGCTACAGTGAGCTGGGGCTGGGCATCCTCCATCCAAGCCAAGCCCATACTTGCATTAACTTGCAGCCCTGAGAAGGGGTTTCTTGCTATGGTCTGACTCTGAATTTTTAAGGATAGGAAAACTTGGGTGACAGCAACCGATCTGCAAAGTGTCTGCCCTGCTGCCCCACATCCCAGCTTGGCTGCATGCTCATTTGCATCTGTCATGCTTCTGCGGTTCTGTCCTCCTGCAGAAACCTGAACTAAGGGAAAATGGGACAGAGGATTATAGCAAAGTCATCACTGCCCCAGTACATGGTGAGAGCAGGTCATGGAAATTGGGTCAGCTTCTTCTGGTGCAAATCAGCATTCCTTTGCTGAAGCCAGTGGAGATAAAAAAGTGCAATAAAGACCAAAATTAGGTCAACCAGATACACAGCTCCTTTTATGCAGCAACCTAACCCTTTTCCTACTTCCTGCTATTCCTCCGCACAGCCAAGTAGGTCAGAAGGATCTCCTGTCAGACAGCTGGATCCACCGAGGTAGCTCTGAAATATTCTCCAAATCAGCAGGGTATCAAGAAAAAGCAATCCTGTTCCCTCCTCCCACCACAGTCTCTCCAGTTGCCCATCTGAGGGGGAAATGGGATCTCAGGTCGGGGATTAAAGTACTCTCCAAAAAGCTCAGTCTGGGCTGAACCAGAGGTAAACCTCATTTCTAAATATCCCATTAGTTGCACTTGCCGTTTGTACAGGGTTTTGCCATGGGGTGTGATTGCAAGGGACATCACAGACACAGCAAGGAGCTGCTCTGGTGGACCCCAGCAGCCCCTGAGCCACCTGCACTGCAGCCTGGTCCCCAAGCAGTAGCACATGTTAATGCAGAGACCTGCAGCCTCCCAGTGGTGCTGGTGATGGGGTGAGTTTTCCTTCCCCAAATCAGTGCTAGGCTGGTTGGCAATGACTCCTCTTTTTCTCTGCAGAGTCCTCTAATACACAAACTTATATACAAGTTTTACGTGCCTCAAACCAGTGAGACCAAAACAACCCCTTAACTCCCCCTGGAAAGGAAGCATAATTGAAACAAACTGGAAATAAAATTATTAGTGAAGCTATTTTCATTTGCCAGAAGCCGTGCCAAAAGGTAATTCTGAAGCTGGAGAAACTCTTCAGAGGACTGTGGTGGAGTCAGTGGAGCAGCACAGGAAGCACTAACATGGGTGAGAAATGGTCTTGAATCACTGAACATATTGTTTGAGCTGTAATGATTTTGTGATTGTGACTGAGAACTTTCTGCCTGACTCATAAAATAAATAAGGGTCCTGGAGCACCAAGGTTCTGTACCAGCAGCCAAGGAGATGAAATCATGAGACTCTGAAATTCAGAGCTGCTCCCAAGTTTGGCACCTCCCCTCTGCGGTGAGGAATGAAAGCCCTGTGCCAAGTCAGTCACAAATTATAAACGGTCCCAGAAATGGCAATGTCTTCTCCCCTCAGCCTTTTTCAATCTTCTCTTTTTCTCCTCTTAAATTGCTCCACATCTCATGTTTGCCGTATCTCAATATTGACGTGGAGTCTCTAGCTGTCTTCAGACCATCTGCAGTAGGTGACTAACATGTGTTAGCACCAGTTCTTCCACCGAGTGCCTATGGAGCTGGGATGTGACAGGCTGGATAGTCTGAATTGCTTATCACATTGAGATGTTATTGTAGTCACAACACCTACATGAGTGATAGTAGCAGACAGAATTTGGTCCAACAGCACTAAAAATGAATAATACTAATTTCCACAATTATTTACCACTCACAGGCAAATTAGTCATCTCTTTGCCATACCTGAGAGAGTAGATGCCACAAAATACCTTCAGTGCCATCTAGCTACTAAGCTACATGAAGAGATGAATTTGCAAGTAGCTCTAATTGCCACAAGGCTCATCAGTGGCATGATGTCCTGTTGCACCAGCTGATGCTCTGTCCTCAGGGGCCTAATCAGGATGGTCATGTAAGCCACAAAGATAATTTGCAATCATAAAAAATTCTGCTTTGAATGGATGTTTATCTAAAGTATGGCAAAATGAATTCCTCAGAATGAAGGCTAAATAAATAACTACCTTCACACACCCCAAACCCACAGGATATTTGTATAGGCACTCAGTATCGCCAGCCTCTCTGAGCAATTTGCCAAGAACAAACAACAACATTATTTGGCTTTAGCTTTTGTTTCATGAAGATGTATAGAAGCTATGAAAAATATCACCCTTACTGTCTACTTGTCTTGGGTTTCATGACATGTCTTCAGAATTACATGGACCCATTTTACTAGCGATGACTTTACTGACCATCTATGATGACTGCACCCATGATGTATGTCCACACCACAGCCAAACATACATTCTGACAGGCTGGTGGCAGGCTGGGAAGAGGGTGGCATAGCAAACCCGTACCTTTCCCTGGGTAACTCACACTGAATCATCACTGCATGGAACTGAAAATTGTGGCCACCGATCAGCCACGTGAAACATGCAGAAATGGAAATATGAACAGAGGGAGCACAGCCAGGGTTCCATCAGGCTCTCGACACAACAAGGAGCAGCTGCAAGTGGCAGAGGAATGAGCTGGTGTTTTGCTTTGTCCTCCTCTGGCCCAGATCATGGACCATTGCCACACAGTCTGATGTGTCCTGGACCATGCTAAAAGCTAAGAAAAGCAAAGCACAATTAATTTCAAAAGGATGTTGTTTTTATAACATACTGTACTTTGGTGTGGTTATTTCATCTATAGTGTAATTTGTCCAGATAAAACTTGTCTAGAAATGACCTTACAGTCTGGGTATGATGCTGATAGAGGATACATTCACACATGCTTATGCTCCCAGTGTCACAGCAGTGCTTGGCCAAGGATCAGCTCCACAGATGGAGCAGGCAAGTGCCCTTGTCCACTCTGCAGGTCTGATCCTGCTCTGGGTGCAAGCTCATGACAAGGTGAAATCAGTCCCACCAACAAGAGCACAAGGATAATCCCTGGCTGCGATGGCAACGCACTGCTGGCAGCAACACCAAACTTGTTAATGGCAGTGGGACATGTGTCAGAAGGGATCAGTGCCTGTCAGAGCACAGAGAGGACTTTTATCTCCTGTTTGGATGTTCTCACTACCTTAATGCTGAAGAATTTATCCAGGCAAGACCAGATTATCTCCAGGAGCAGTGTTGGCAATTTCACGGAGACCAAGTCAGCTTCTACCAGTTGGCAATCTGCCTGTATAGCCAGTCAGCGTGAAAGTTTTGAGAGCATACAAGTAATTGAAATTAGTGATGAGGAGGATATTTATCTTCGTATGGATGGACCTTGGCAGTGTGAAGTGGGTCTTAAAAGGAGCATCCGTGTGGCACCCCCAAGAGACTTCTAGTCAATACTTAAAGCTTTCACCGTAAAAGGTAGTTCCTAGCATGGGAAAAGCTGGCAGTTCAAGCAGAGAAGGGCTGCAGCCCTCAGGTGTCCCTCTGAGCTGGAATTACCATACAGACACTTAAGTAAAAATGAGAGTGGCGCTCAAACCTGACACCACATCTCAATCCAAGCTGTGCTGATTTACACCAGCCAAAAAAAGAGCTGACCTGCAGGGCCAAATCTGCCCCATGGCTATATCCAGGCAGCTGCGGTGATTTAAAAGCTCTGTCAGTGTCAGTCACCAGTGGGTCTCATTGAAAGCCAGATTTATCTTGTAATCTGCACGAGGAGGCGTAAACTGCTACTGCTGCTCCCATGCGAAATAAATCAGCCCAACACAGCTAGAGCTGGTAGCTACGAGGGCCAGCCCTCGCACTGATTTGTATGCCCTTATGCTACAGGCAGCGGTGGCCAAATGCCAGCCTTCCCTCTCACCTATGTGGTTGACTCCTCAAGTTAACATCAGAGGGATTCTGAGAGTAGGATGGCACCAGGGGTCAGTGTGGGGACCCTTTCGTCTGTGGGCTACAACCTACAGGTCTGCAAGCTCCTTGGGGGCTGGAACAGGCGTTTCGGTCAGGCTGCTGGTCCCTGTGCTGGAGTTGCCCCATGCCATGGTGGTGTGAACAAGAACAAGGGCTCCTGTGAGGAGTGTGAGAGGCATTGCTGTCCTGCTTGCGGAGGGGACCCCACTTTGCTTGGCAAAGCATGCAGGAATGCATGAGCCCCTGGGGTTATCTCAACATTTAAGCTCACAGTTATTTTAGGCATCCTTCTCTGATACAGAAACACAGGCTGCCAAAACTCAGGAAGAAAGATAGTAGTGTAATAACCACCAAAATGTAGTCACAGGGAATATATGCTCTCCAATTCTTCACATCCCTACTGTGAACTTATTATTTCAGCATCTCTCCCCTTTGAGATTTTTTCTTATCATATCAAATATTGTTGTTTTTTTTTTTTTTTTTTCAGTCCTGCACAGTGCAAACCTCCACCATCCCATTGCTGCCTTGGCACAAAGCAAACCCCACATGACACGGGTGACTGTTGAAGGCCACCCAGCAAAGGGAGTACAGGATTTTGGGGGTGCATTATAAAAATGGTGATTTCCACCAGTCCAATGGGGCCATAGCCATGGGCCATTGCAAGGGGTGATTCAGGAGCCAGAGTGAGGATGATGCTGTTTGCCGGACCATGAGAGGTGGGCTGGTGGAAACCCATGAAAGCCCACTCTGCTAAAACAAGTCTTCAAGAGTTGTGCTGGAGTCTGTGCATTCCTTGGTGTTGAGTGAAGCCACAGGGGTTTGGCAGAGCATTCACAGCTATGCCTGGTCCCTCCACAAATAGCATTGGCAATTTCAGGGAGTGAAATAACATCCTGGCACTGCCAAAAGCCACATTGATTATCAACAGTATAAGTAATCAAGTAAAAGCACTTTCCACAGCTGAATGACCAGATTGTGAAGCATGCAAAGAGTAGTAGCTAAAACTGATTGCAGCTCACGTGGATAATTTCTACCAGAATTACGTTATTGTATTAAAACAGTAATGCATAATGTATGGCTGTGCATCTCTGCAACAAACATTTTACATTTAATTTAGAAATCTCTGAGTCATTAGAAAAGTTCTCATTATGTTGCAAAGACCTTTGTGGAGTCAGCAATAGTAGAGTCTTTTAAAAAAAAGTTAATGATGAAGGGAATCAGATGGATGTAAAATACCTGAGCTGGGAATGGGAGTGGGAGCTGAGTGCTGCACAGCAGCCTGCCCTGCATGCCATCCTGCATGGGTCAGCACACTCCACGGGGAACTGGTTATGCTGTCTTTGGCACCCAAATTGTGCTGCTGCACCAGGACACTCCGTGTACTGTCAGGGAAGAGAGAAAGAGGCAATTTCTTGGGGCAGTTCAGCCAGTCTAACATTTAAATCATTTCAGGGTTGCCTTCATCTCTGTACTGGCTGCAGAGGTGGTAAAGCTCCTGGAGCAGATGCATGGAAGGCAGAAACACCCCACATGGGAGAGGACCTAAGGAAAAAGTGGAGGTCTGTGCTCTGCACTGGATTCTTGTGCAACAGGCTCATAGCAGCAGAGGAAAAATCAGTGTGTCTGATCCTGAAGTTCTTGCATATGTTTAACTTCCATGACAGTTAAATCCCTGTGCTTGCAATCCAGCTGGAATTGGCAACTAGGTAGAGTTGAACCCAACATACACCCAAGGTGGTTCCCATTGGTGCTTGATATGAGGTGTGGGCTGGTACACAGAGACGTCTGTAGTCACTGCATTCTACAGGAACAAGATTCACTCCATTCTGCATAAGTCACTCTCCTCCATGGGTTTGCTCATCTCTCCTTGCCACTATACAATAACCCTTTGCATTTCCCAGAGATCCTTTTCCTTCAGTAACCTACCACAGCTCCAGTGTGGGCAACACCACCACAAGGGAGCAGGCAAATGAATCTTGTTGTTCAGGTCCTTCCTTTGAGCCCTCTGTGCTGACTGCAGCTTCTCTGCTTGTCACTTCTCAGCTGGACACAGCAGTGACTTTGTCCAAAACATGGAGCTCAGTGCTTGATTCAACATGAAAACAACCTTCAGTTGGTGTCGTGGTTTAAACCCAGTCAGGCAACTTGTTTAAACCACGACAGTTGGGAACACAGGTCTGAATAGCCCATGTGATTGTTTTGTCATCTAGAAATAGGATGATCAAAATGTTGTTGCAGGTAAAGCCGCAGAACCTGGCCAGTGGTGTTGCAGAGTGCTTGGTGGACCCATAGGAAACACAGGTCCCTGAAATGAGTGTGCATTGGCCAGTCAGCAGAAGCAGCCTACAGACATGAACTTTGTTATTTCTTACATTCACATGCTTTTTAAACTGCTCTTTTTTTCTTCCCCCACATTTTATACCCTTTAATTTACTTGGCAATCTTTCCCCTCATGGACAATGAAGGTTTTAGAAGCTTTAGGATAATAAAACATTGGGAAAAAGAAAAGCAATGGGGTTTTCAAGTACTGTGCAGCATTGCATGTTGGCAATGTGGAGATAAAAGTGCTATTTCTAGCTCCTATGCTATTCCTCCCTGGGACCTTTTCCCCCTGCATGGAGGGGCTCAGGCTGCCACCCTCTCTGCAAAGGCACTTACTGTCCATCAAAGTACCTCATACAGCACAAAAGAGGCATTTTAATTATGAACGTGAGGAACTGGAGATCTTTATCGTTATCTAAACATTAGCAGATTTAATATTAATTGGTCTCAGATTCTTGTCCAACAGCTTGACAAAAAAGTCAGTCAATATTTAGCACAGCTACAGCATGCTATTAAGAGGGGGTTTTACTAAAGTTGTATTATAGGAAAAACCTGTAGAAATGACAGTGATTTCAGACTTCAGTGGATATTACTGGGAAACAGAGTGGCATATGCACTTCCCAGCTACCATCAGGTACTAAGAACATAACACACTTTACTCCTGAGATGTACACTTAGCTTTGGGTTAAAAATAAAGAAAGAAAGCAAAGCAAAGCATAGTGATTTTATGTGTTTAGCCGACTGGCATACTTGCTGACTTGGCAAGAAAGACAAAACAAGAGAGTTGATCCAGTTTAGCCCCTTGGAACAGGACTGTGTCCACTGGCCTCTCTCATGAGGGTCTGCCCAGCTGAGAGGGGAGGATTGCAGCCTGGGCCTGAGCCTTCTGCTGTTATGAATTACGATCACAATCAGTGTGGTATGTGAGTCAGCAGGAAGCTGTTTGGATGTGGCAGAAAAGGCAGTGTCATGGAAATGAGTCCAGCAACAAGGCTTCCTCTGTCACCTGGGAGATCACCCTGGCCATCCCAGCAGCCCCACCAGCAGTGCTGAGATAGTTGCCTGGGATAGCAGTGCCTGACCTGCCTGGCATGTGGATTTGGTGTCATAATGAAGTCATCAGTATCAGTTCCAGTTCTCAGCAGGAATGCCATGGAGGATGCCTGGCTTTGGGGCACTGTGGCACAGGAGACCCTCATCACTGGGGCTGCTGGGGATGGAGGCAGTGTGTGGACCACCCTCAACCTCCAGCATGCTCAAAGCGGGGATTTTGGTGGCCCTTGTCTCTGATTTGGGCAATCAAAGTGCGAATGCTGCGTGCCCTCTTACAGCCTTCCTGAATAAGCAGGGTGGGAGCATTGCGGGGACGAGGCTCTGCAAGGGGAGGGGATGGAGAAGAAAACATAGACATCAGGGTGTGTGCACGTGTGTGTGGCAGTTCAGGCACAGACCTCATGTCCTCGCTTTATTTATTCTGCGAAGTATAAAACCACATGGAAAATGTTTGAGGTTATCTGAATGTTGAAGTTAATGTTGCCTAAACAAATTATCTACTTCTGACTCATTTCTAAGAAACTTGATCTTTTGTGACCATGCTTCCTTTACAGTCATCAGTGAATTTTATATTATAAACCAACAGGACTTAATTTTCAGAGAAAGATACCTCCTGTGCATTTTGTGGGTTTGATTTAGCAGCAGGAAGACAATACCAAATAATTTGAGTCATAATAATTAATGAGGATATTCTGGAGTTTATAGTCATATCACACTGCCCACCATGAGTCCCCTTTGGGTGTTTTTATTTTTTTCACTGTTAACAAACACAAAGGTTGTATATCCTTACACCCAGTAACTGTCTCCATGCTCATGCTAACTTTACAGATATGCACTGCTTTTTAAAACCCATGAAAGGCCTTGACCTGTAAAATTCAATTTCAAATGGTAAAAATCCCCTGGCAACTGTAGACGCTGGGGACAAGCTAATGTGTTATGTTCTGTAACTCTGTTTTGAGTACTGGCTTGACCTGTAAGTGTTCTAGATACAGTCTAACTAAAATGGGTTTTATTATTTTCCATTAGTGCCTGCCACATGAAAATCAACTGGCAGTCCACAGGGGAAATAAAAGTATTTTCCTCCCCTAGATAACATCTGCTGCAAATGTAAACGGACCTTTTCCCAGCCCCCTCCTTCATTCTGCTTCCTTCCAGCCCTCTGATGCTATCACATTTCCCAAGATTTGTGCTTTGGATGTAAGACCCAAGGGAGGGCAAGAGCAGAAGATGCTCCCCTGCTCCACAGGACCTGATGCTGTGGTAGGGTGATGCTTCGTCAAACCCCTGGCCCAGGAGCTGGTTGCGGAGATGCACCACTGTCGTGCCAAACCATGGCAGCACAAAGGAGTGCGTCTGAGTGGTGTTTCCCATATTTGCAGTCAGACTCACTGAGACTAGGAACTTTATTTTTTCTCTGTGCTAGGCACAGTCATGCTGCTGTGCAGACCTGCGCACCTCAAGTACACCCCATGTCGCATGAGCACATGGCTTCTTGCAGGCACCATGGGCTGATGTTCTGCCTGTCCCAGACTCATAATGTCACTCTCCCAATAAGGACACCCTGCAGCCACAGCCTGACCCTGCCTGGTGCTGCCTCTCCAATCCAGGAGAATCGTGTCCCCTTGTGCTCTGCTTGACACAACTTTTTCTGCCACTCCCCAGAGAGTGCTTCCCAGCAGTGCCCACCAAGCTCATTTGCCCTCCTTTCATTTCTTCAAACTTCACTTTCTTCTTAAGGCAAATTATTCAGTAAAAAAAATCCCCCAGCATTAAAACCTGCCTCACGTCGTCTTGTCTTAGTAAAACAATGACATTTTCCCCTCTTTGATGCTCAGATCTAGCTCTGCAGGAAATTTTACTATCATGACTCTTTTCATCTCTCTCCTGGTTTGAAGATAAATGGTCCTTGGACTCTTCTGGACGTGCATAAATCACAAAAGCAATCTACTAAGAGATCTGCCTGTGGCACTGACTTCAGCTGGAATTGAAAAGGACAGACAAAAATACCCATAGAGCTTACTCAACAGAGCTAGGGTAATCCAGTGTCTTATCCTTTCAGCAAGTACAACCACAGCCTGGAGAAGAGGATAATGGTGGGACCACGGCATTGGGGGATGATGGTCCTGGGATGCCATCCTTGGAGCTACCAAGTATCACTGAGGGAACCACAAAATTGGGTGACTTCTAAGAAAATGGGACTCACTCCCAAAGACAAGCCCTGGCACATCCACCCAGGCCACCAAATTTAGTCCTGGATGTCAGATGCATGTGACACCACCCCATTCATAACTACATCCAGCTCTGCCTGGAACTTGGTGGGGGATGCCCTGCAATCAATCTCTGAACAAGAGGCTGAGGCCAGAGACGTGTTACTTCTGGGGACTCAGGTTTGGGGTTTAGAAGAGGCAACACACCTTATATTGCAAAGTGGTTTCAGCCTTTGCTGAGGTTTTATATGTAGGATGGAGAAATCAAATGGTTGCTGCTCTGTCAGTCTCAGCATCAGTTTTTCTACTCTCAGAAACTCCCCCTGAGGATCTGATGGGACAGAGGTGACAACTAAAGCACTAGAAACTTGGTTTGGGAATGGAGCAAGACCTCTTCTGCTTGGAAACTTTATTAAAACCACAGGGAAAGAACGGCAGTACACGGCCTGGGGAAAAGCAGGTGGTTAATCTCACATCTCCTCACTTGAAGCTGATTTGGCCAAAGTGGAGCAGGGAGTGTGAGTGGAAAACATCCTGTACCCTGAGCTTGCTTGAGAGGTGACTATAGGGTGGGCAATGGTGGCCAGCTCACAAGCTGACAGAGCAAACATGGCTTCAGCTGAACCTGGAGTAAAGCAAAACCTCTGTTGCATGGAGGTTTGGGTACTAACAAGAGCATGGTCCTTGTACCCAGGCCTGCGTCCCAGGGTGCTGGTGGGTGAACAGCTGCAGAGAACACTGCTCCAGCAGCCACTGATGCAGCAAGCAACTGCTCCTGGGTGACTTGTGCTTTTCCGTGGGTGGGACTGTGGGCAGAAGACCTATTTTTGTGTCTCCCCTTGCTTTCACCCTATTGCAACAGGATACCGCAAGCCCCATCAGCCCTAAGCAAAGCATGTGGCATTGCTAATGTAAAGCACTGCAAGTTTGTAGGCAAGCAGATGGGGTTTCTCACTTCTTTTTTTTTCTTAAGCAAATTTTTAAAGCTCTATTAGCCAATTAGTTGTGTTGTTCATTGGTCTTTTTAACTTGAGAACATCTGCCGAGATCATTCAGGTAGTGTTGTTCTCCATTAACAAAGGCATTATCTTGAAACACAGATGCTAGTGTCACTCTGCTTCTTCCAGTTTGATGCAGCATTCATGATCCTGTTTCTAGTCATAAGACTCCAATCCAGAGCAAAAGATCTTGGTGTATACACATACCTAGGTCATAAAATAGTTTTTAACAATACAGCATTGGAACCCAGTACAGTGATCACCCTACAGATAAGTTAGCAAGTAGCACATGTGACAGCTGTGACATAGGCACACATGGCATAAGGCATAACAATTTATGAACCCCTAGCCTTGCTCCATCTCTCTTGGCATTGCATGGGTATCCCTCACTTTCCCATCCACTTTATTTAGCTCTGAACACCTTCATTTGAGAAGAAGAGAAACAGGAGCCAGAATGTTTCATGAGAAGTATTTCTTGGACTCTTTTTTTCCATCATGGAGCTTCAAAGAGAAGCAGCATCTCTTTCTGAGCTCTAAGCCCTTAAGAGATAATAAAATCAATACTTTAAAGCTCTTCATGCAAGTCTAGGGATTCCCATGTTAGGGTACCTCTACCTAAGCTTGTGAAAATCAGGACTGATTTTCACAGCTGCTTGGGTTTTTCCCTCTCTCTTTTCTGACTTGGAAAAACTTGGAAGTGTTTGTGTGGCATTTTCTACATGTGGAATTACTGATCTAATTTTGGTTTCTTCTATCCTTTTTTTTGTGTACAGCCAAATAACAGCCTCTCGTCACAGTGTATTTGTAGGAAATGACAAAGGGACATCAGACAGGAATGAAACTTTGTGAGCAGAAGGAGGACTGTCAGAGTAAATGGCTTTGACTTAGTCAAAGTCTTCCATGAGCCCCCATGGTGGCCCCCTGCTCTGATTCAGTCAGAGCAGCCCACAGAGTGCCACAGGAGGGGCAGCAGGACAGGGGCATTAACCTAGAGATGGGGTCAGAGTCATGCACTTGGATCTTTTTCACAAACCAAGTGTCTTGATTTGGCAGAAATTTCTTTTTTCTTTAGGTAATTTTCAATGAGAAAGGCTTACTTCAATACTTCAAGGCTTACTGAATTGCTCATAGGAATGAGTGGTAGTAGAGTTCAGCAGCTGGTCCAGGAGGCTTAGATACTGGCCAATACCAACTTTCTTGCTCAGATGGTTAGGTAGGTGTTTTCAGAGCTGGAAGAATACAGACCCAGCCTTCATCCCACATCCAGTTGTGTGTCTGTGATTTATCACACAAATTTCTGTGGGCCCTAGGGTGCACTTTTATTAAAATGTCCTTTTTCTCTAACTCTAGAGGATGGGTTACAAAACATACTGAGATTTGTTTTCCACTCTTTAGGGCTTCCAGAACTTTGTGCTCATTTATCTTATGTTATTTTTCTTTCTATTTGTGGTTTTGAGGTCATGGCTCCAGAAATGTTAACTCTTCAAGTGAAGTTCAGAGCCAAACCCAAATTCCTCTTGGAGGAAATACCAAAATTTCTACTGATGCCTCACAGCTGAAAAACATGGACATAAATGCACAGTAATAGATCTATCTCTTTGACCAAAAGGTACCTCAGCAAAGTTATGTACTCATGAAAAATGCTGTTATGATAGTGTTGGGTGGATAGCGCGAACAAACACAAACTTTCCCACAAATATTTGCTTGTCTTAAATTAATCTGCTGGCTCTGCGTATGGCTTGGCAGAGTTTATTTTCCACAAGTATTCCAGTGAAAGCTTGTTGGCAAGAATAAAGATAAAAATCAGTCAAGGTAATGTCTGAGGAAAATAGTTTTGAAGGTCCATTTTAAGGCCAGCAACTCTAATACCCTACTATTTTCATGCCTTTGGACTTACCAGCCCCAAGGAAAGGGCAGCATTCCCCTTGGAGGATGCCAGGCTTGGGGATGTGGCTCTGAGGCATGAGTCAGATCCTCATTTACCCTCTGCTCTGGGGAAGATGTTGATTAACCAGTGACAACTGGAGAACTGACTGTATTTTCATGGTCAGAGGAAAAGGACTCTAGAAATGCTTTTCCCCACTTGCTGCCTTTGCATTATGTGAGGGCAGGAGAATCAGGGATCTCCTCTCCTACCTCTTCCCTGGATGCAGATGACAGCTCAGCACTGACATCCCATGCAGTATTGCAGCCACAGGATGCAACAAGGATCCTGAACATGCAAGTTTGGGTGTGTGGCCTGGCTGCACCCCGTTTTCCTCTCCCTGGTTTCAGCAGAAAGGCAGTGGTATGCAGTCTGGCAACAAGCTCCTCTTCCTTTCCCTGGACACTTAGGAGACCAAGATCCTGCTGGAGCAGGCTGCAACAGGAAACCACCAGGCTGTTTATATATAGCTTGAGGGAATCAAGCAATATTAAGGTCATGACCTGGTCTTCATATTCCTTATAGCAAGCACAAGGCAGCTCAAGTCAGACTTGCACTGTGAGTGCAAGATTGAAGGCACCTTCTCTTATTTGTGCTTGAGCTATGGAGTAGATCCCAGGCAAAGCCACTCAGTGCACTGAATTTGAACTGCAAAACGGGGCTGCTGGGGCTGCATCTTCCAGCTCAATGCAGAGCCTGATATCTTCAAGTGTGGCTTCATTTTGAATCAGAAGACAATTTCTGAAATTCTCAAAGCCAAAGGGAAGAAAGATCAAAGTATTTAATTTTTATTGAGACTCCATTATTTTCTAAGATAATAATAAGTAATAAACAATAAAACTGGACAGCCATTCAAGCATGGAAAAAAATATTTCACAGTGTTTGTTGAGCTGGAAAGTTTTAATTTCACTTCTAATTCACCACTGCCAGCAGCCCTCTGTTACACTTGCAGAGTCAGGAAATGAAATAATTTCTCACAACGTACTTCAATATTGGGCAGTACAAACTGGCTACACAGTCCTGGATAGGACAAAGCACTATGCTAGGAATCAAAAGATTCTCCTCTGCCTCCACCTTCCTCTGGGGCTGTTTGCAAGTCTCCTTGCTGCATGTGTTTTTTCCTCCTCCTTTAGGCTGCTGGGTGCATTCAAATTGGAAATCTGGAAAAAGCCTCGTGGCCTCACATTGCCATTGCCACTAATGCTACAGGATAGAAGAGCCATGCAAATAATTTCAAAAGGAGACATGGCAAGGTGGAAGTAAAAATCACAATCATTTTTGCAGAAACACTTCTTGAAAGCATTTTAACAACTCCTTCGGTTTTAACATCTTTTTAAAAAAAGTTAAACAGCACAAAAATTACTCATTGGACTTAGAAAAAAGAATGACTCTAGCAAAACATGATCACAAGTTGTGATATTAGCAACCACCCCTTCAACACTATGGTTATGTAGGCATTGAATGAGAAGGGTATGTTTGTAAAGGAAACCAGTTTTTCATAGGTTACTCCCTCCACAGTGGGAGACCACAGACTGAGAAGAGCTGACTACCCTTCCGGTAGCAGTAATGCATTTACAGTCTTAATAGCAAGAGAGAAAAACACTGGCTGATTTTCTTTGCATCATAATCCAGTAACCTTTGAATTAACCTTGCTGGACACAGATCTGTTAACTTTTACCATGCTTCTCCAATTAAACTATTGAAGTCTGAGACAGAAATAGCTACCCACAGCTGCTATGAATTGATATGTCCCCTGATGATGCTTGGCACTGCCTACAGGAAAAAAAAAAAAAAGTTTCTTATTTTATTCTTTGCCATGAAGTTAACCTTTTTATTCTCTTTTTTCACTATTTTTAATATTCTTTCATTGCAAAGTGATGGTATTAGGCTGCTCTCCTATTTGCTTTGCTTGGAAAGGAAGACAGATGCTACTGGAGTATGCTCCACAAAGGTAACTTCATACCTGGTATTTCTGTTTTAGAAAGAGGAAGGGTGGAGGGCACTTGCAGGGCTGTGTGGCCATAAGTGCATAAGTTACACTGGAGCATATATTGCACTTTCAATGCATGCTCCAATAAGCGATGAACCCTTAGATGTCCTCTGCCCAGCTGGTAATGACAGAAAGAAGGATAGATCCACTTGAGGCCAATGTTCTGCAAATGCCTGCTCACATGAAGCAACAGCCACAGTTTTAGTGCATGCTCGGAATGGAAATCCCCAAATCTGCAAACAGCAGAAAAATGGCAAAATCACCAAATCTGCAAAGCCACTTCTGCAAACTGGTTTACGTATGTACTGAGCAAACAGAGATCTTCAGAAAAACATTAAGTGAGGTCTCTTTGATCCTTCCTGTACCTGTTTAGGACTCCTGAGGACTAACCATCACAGCTGAAGGACATTTAAGCACTGGTTGAATGTCACATTTGCAAAGTAAAGCTTTCACATATCTTTTTGAGCCTTGCTTGAAAAATTGTCTTAATTACCAACAGATGATATCCTTGGACATAAAGCATGATTACAGAAAACAAAGTATGGCAGTGAGAACAGTGACAGCAAAAAACTACACAAACTGCTGGCTCAGTGGCAAAAGCACTTCTACAGTACAGATGACGCAGCCCACCTGCAGGATTATTTGGACAGCCCTTAGCAATGGGACATCCAGGCACTTGCCCACAACCTTCATGGACTACAAAACACCCAAAGCTGCCCACTCATGAGGCCAGTAGTGGCACTTTGGGAAGCCACACCATTGCAGGGCACCCATCTACCCCAGGTCTGCATACCCTACTTGGTGCAGCTGTGTCCTGTGCTGTCTGCAGGCTCCTCCATGGTGGGGAGCCACCAGGCACACAGCTGCTTTGCCAATCAACACAAAACCAGCCACATCTTCCACATACAAATGGGCCAGCATGTAATACTGATGGGGCTTGGGTTTCTTTCCTATAATCTCCAATGTTGCCTTGATTCAGAATAAATGAAAGCATCTAGTGTCTCCAAAAGCTTCAAATAACTTGTGTGTTCTCGTTTTACGCACTTTACTCTGTGTGTTACTCTTCTGTTTGCCCTGCATCTAGAGGAGAGATTACAAGTTGCACCATCAGCAACTAAGCAAGATCTAAGCCAAAAGCAAGGATCCGAGTCATTCACTTGGGAGACTATTTTAGCCATATATTACTGTTCATTTTCAGGCAAACCAGTACAATTATGCAACATAAATTCTTCTAAAAGCATTTGGGACTTCAATTTAAAATCCTGTAGGTTTTATGGTCAGAGTGAGTGATTACTAAATGTGTGCATACAAACAATGACTTGGAAAGAAGCACATGGGGAGGATTAAAGGGCTTATGGACCCTCATGCACACACTGGGCAAGCTCTGGCCAGACTGTATCAGAGGATGTGAAATCTAAAGAGCCTGTGTCAAAAGGTGGATTATACTATTTACAGCTCCCAAGCACAATTTTTCTTTCCCAGTGCAGTGAGTGTTTTCTGTGAGTGCAAGGCCTGATTGCAATCTCCTGCAAGGGCATTTCCATAGGCTTCTGTACAGCCAGGTCACTTTGCCTAGACTAACTCCTGATTTATGCTATTTTAAATGAGGATGAAGATCTGATCTATTTAAAAACAAGACTCAGTTACAGCAGGAATAGAGGGAGACATTAAAATGTCTCAAATCTGAGTATTTTGTCACTCCAGGAAAGTGTTAAGCCAGAGGTATAAGCTAAGGTGCCTGTTTACCCTTCAGTAAGGATGTGGAGGTGGTAGGGACTTGGCCCTGGCACCTTGACGCCCTTTGACTCCTCACTCTGTCACAGTCGTTGTGGAGCTGCAGTGAAATCACAGCCATTGCTGAGATGCTTTTACCACTACTCTCAGCCTCCTTTCTCCCCCAAGGCAGGGTACTGCATGTGGGGTTTGTCCCTTTGACCTCACAGGGTGACAGAGACCCCTCCCTTAACTTCCTTTTCCTTTGCTATTATTAATAAATGGAAAACAAATTCCCCCTTCAAGCACAAAATCCATGCAATATGTTCATGCATAAGCAAGATGCAAAGCCCAGCTGTGTATGCTTGAAAGCTGCATCCACATCCAAAGAGCTCAGCACCTAAGCTGAGAACCAGCAACACCTGCTCAGTGCCAGGTGCAACTGCTGGTCCAGAGGCCAGTGGGGCAGGAGGCAAATGGAAGGAAGCACAGACCTATTCTGTCCCTGAAGCTCAGCCTCAGCACTCATCAGCACTGCCTGCTGAAGGAAAACCATTCACGGTTATTAAAATATTACCAGGAGCAGGATGAAAGAAATCATTAATTCAGCACTTGCAAAGAAAACCAAATCGTCAAGAATTGGTTTTATTACAATCATCATCATTGCTATTTAAAGACCCAGTGCTCGCTGTTGTACTGTTATGTGAGACTCAGACACCACCATACAAATGAGGTCTTGGTCTTTGTAAACTGCAGACCTCAGCGAGAGAACCAGGAGGCAGAAATGCAAGAAGCAGAAAGCAAAGAAAAAGACTGCAAAGCTTGGCTTAACATGCTTTCTTTAAAATTACCCTCATGATTTTGGGAGCCCTTACAAATAAGTCAGAGTTTACAATGCCAGCTAACTATTTATTTATTTCTCCTTCTGTATAAAGGAGTGGAGTCAACAGTATTTTTTTTTCTCGCTTTTTTAGGGGAATATACAGACAGATATGTTGTGTTCATTTTTTACTTATACAGATGTAAACTCCACTAAAGCTGGGGGACTTATTGACAGTGATACTGAGGCAATCCAAGGCCAGACTATGTCCTATTGATTTCCCTGGGCCTGCACAGGAAGTATGTAGTTCATTGCAGAACACAGTCTTTGTTTGTTTTGTTTATTACCCAATATGCAACAATGTGGAATAAAGAACAGCGCCGAATGGCAGAAATGCCTGAGGATTTGTCTTTAATTGAAATCAGGACTGGGAACATCTTTGTAAATCAAGAGCAGTCAGCCTTTGATAAAATTCACTGCTTTTGCAAAGTTTGCTTTCAAATGGGGTTTAGTTTTTATCCTTTGTCTCTCACATTGACCCAGCTAAATAATTTTTAACAATTTCTCTGAAGTCGCTATATGCTGATCAACAGTCTGAAAACTTCCAGGTAAAACAGATGCTGCGCAGGATTCTTATATATTCTAAAGCTGTGAATAGTATTTGAATAAAATCAAATATACAGTTATTAGAAATACTCCTGATGTCAGTCCAAATCTCTGTTTTTAAAAAGCTGGATGTTCTTCCAAATCAGGATTTTTGGTTCAGTCCATTAAGAACCTACAGGCTTTCCTTGTAAAATTATGACCTAGATCTGAATTTTACTCAAGCTTGATGATGCTTTAGTTTAACTTTTAATTCAGAGCCCTATAATTGCAGCGCAGAGTGCAGGCAACAGAAAGCACATAACTCCACCAGCAGTTTGGCTCCAGCCACAGCCCTAAGAGCACTTCAGACCACTGGTAAATGGGTGCCAACCACAGTAAGCAGCAAAAAGACCTAAGCTCTGATGTCCGAATTAAAGTACCTTCATTGCCCACATTGGAGCACCCCATGCATTGTGAAACATCCAAACAACAATATTTCTGCTCAGCAAAAGATTTCACAATGGGACTTTCCTTCTTCAGCTGTATTTTTCCAAACTCACATTTCAGTGTGTTTATTGGATTGAGATCTCATAATTATTTATAACAAAAGGGTTTGTCCTTCCAGCCTATTGTAAATGTGTAGCACAGCAAACACTAAGCAGCAGCAGGCTGCAAGAGGATAAGGCTATGAAGATTAATGCAACAAATTCGAATTCTTCCATAGCCTTCTTCCAGTAACCCATTTGTGTATGTGTGTGGCTGGGAACGAAAAGAAAGGGCTCCTATGCTCCAGGATAATAGTGAATGCTATTGAAGAGGAAAAACGAAAACACTGTTCATCCCTAGCAGGAAGATAATTGATCTATAGTCTGCACAAAACTGGTCTCAAAGCAGCCAGTAGCTACACAGAAGAGACTGTAGCTAACCAGAACCCAACCTAGCCTGTCAAACAAAAGCTTTATAGGGATACCAGGGAGAACAAAAGTAGCACATTTCATTCCTTCATAATAAATCTTCCATCCTTACTGTGCAGAGATGTTTTGCTCTGGAGCACACCATGTTTTGGAGCAGGGCCCACCCCTGCCACCCCCACCAAAATGCTTGACAGCAACCCAGAACACCCAGCCCAAGCCAAGCTGCTTTATTGGGCTCTGGGTCTTATTTTCACTGTGCACAGCCAGGCCCAGCTGTTTTCTGAGTCCTCAGACAGCGGCAGCTCTTGGGCTCCAGCCCTATCACTCTCTACTTTATGTGCACTAAAGGTAATAAAATAACCATTTCTAAATTTAACTAGCATTACATAATGCAGCTATTTATTATGTAAAGCTGCTGTTTACAATGCCCAGAAATTGATCACTATAAAAAATGCAATGCAGCTAGAGCTCGTTTAAATTAATGTTACTGTTTTCCTTTCTTTTTGTTTAAAGGATCAATCAAAGGTCTAATTTGTTTTCATGAATTCACCTCTGCAAAGAGTGCAAAGCACCAGGCAGCACATTGTTTACTGTCATTCAGGCTCGTGTGCAGCACTCAGTTCAGAATCTGGGAGAGGATATGTAAAGATGGCAATTTGTTCATTATCCAAACCCCTGGAAAAGGCAAATAAAGCATGCTAACCTGCTTTACTTCAAATCAGGTCTTTTTTTTTTTTTTCTCAGCTATAAA